TTGTTTTACCTTGCTTTGGGGCCTGTCCCTTAGCTTGGTCTTATTATTATTTTTTTCTTGGGCGTTTGCCCTACTTTCTTTTGTAATCTTTTTTTATTAATAATATTTGCCAAGGGTAATCCCTTTTATCCAAAAAAAAAACCCTAAACCCTAAACCCTAAACCTTTTGTATTTATATCTTGTATTGTTTAGTTGACTATACATATGCTTCATATCTTGTATTGGATTTTGGGTCAAACTTGTTATCTTTAGACTGCTTGTGTGGCATATCTCTCCTCGGCTTCTTGTTATAATTCCATCGAGTACTTTTGCACTATCCACTTGGGTAGTTCTTGTTGGAGTCTCATCGTCCTGCAACCATGTGGCGTATCTTTTATGATTTTATATATTAAAGAACATAAGGGTACAAGTTGAGCTAGTTGATAATATGTAGTGGAATGAATCCTTTGTATTCCACTAACAAATGTACCCTCATTTATCAAATCATTCAACTAAAACTTTTGGTGGGGATTGAATGGTATTATTCATTATGACGCACAAGGGGTTCAATCAAAGATGAATCATGGTACAGTTTTGTTGAAAAAGAACATCGATCAAAAACATTTCATTTTGTTATAGCAACAAAAGAATGGTAAAGTACATACCATTGCACCCTTCAATTCATCCCAAGCCACTTGAAGGGCCACCTTCATGTCCCTTTTCCAAGTTCATCATTTCAATAGATGGTGATGTTACATTTTGTATCTTTCTGTCTGCTTTTAGTGATATGAAATAAAAAAAGGAAACCTATTATCTTGATATAAAGTTCGGTTTAATGAAAAGGAAATGTAGTAGTACAAGCTTTTTACTAGTTTTGTGGTGTCTTCCTCCCTTTTGTATATAATTGGACTTTGATGTTATTCCTCTTAAGGTAACAAAACACCATTTATCTTGAAATAAACCGAGTATTCATGATCTTTTATTGGCATGTCGGTGTTTAACAAGTCACTAAACATATAATGTATTTTCAGTTACATCGTTGAAGAAAGTTTTAACCGAGTAAACCGTTATTCACTTCTACATTGAACATGTTTTGCTAGCAAGATGCCATAGGATTGAATACATGTTTACTCTTTTAAAAAATTTCTTTAATTATGTAATTGAAAACACTTTAAATGTTTAGTGACCTATGATTGGCGACTCAAGCAAAAACATTGGAATAGTTGATGGGTATTACATGACTTTAGCCCTTTTTTAGCTTCAAGAAGGTCATAACATGAATCTTGATCCAAATATCCAAATACAAAGTGCATATAGTATTCATATATAAAACTTTTATTCCATTATAAATTTGGTAATATGTTTTCTGCCCACCTATGCATACATACATGAAATTAGATAATAAAGAGAAAATGTACACTCTTTCCACAAAGTACATACATTATAAAGAAACATAACACCTACAAAATCATGATTTGAACATAAGCACACAACTATTTTTTTAGCAAGACGATGAACCATTACTGGTTTGACCAAGGATAAATGAACGTGGACTTGGAGTTTTCTTGATTTGTAGCCCCCTTAACTCGTTTAAATGTGGACTATAAACCCTTTGTGCGAGACGTGGACTATACATAGGCTTCATATCTTGTATTGGAGTTTGGGTCAAACTTGTTATCTTTAGACTGCTTGTGTGGCGTATCTCTCCTCGGCTTCTTGTTATGATTCCATCGAGTACTTCTGCACTATCCACTTGGGTAGTTTTTGTTGGAGTCTCATCGTCCTGCAACCATGTGGCATAATTGTTTAAACCTGGAAGCAAAAAGTAACAATGTGGTTTTTCAAGAGAATGGGAAAATTGATTTGATCAAAACTTTGGAACAAAGCACTATTCCAATGAAAGAAAGTATTATTGTTGACAGGCAAGTCAATGCTGTGGAAAATAAGGGTAATCAAGGAAAGCAAAAAGAAAAACAAGCAGTAATTCAAGAAGTGCAAAAAGAGAATCAAAAAGATCCGCAAAGTAGCAAAGGAAAAGGAAGTAGAAACAATGGAGAAAGTTATTCAAAGTTTGTTGTAGGGAAGATCAAAAAAGATGGAAAGGTGGCAGGGGCATTTCAGTCTTTTGATGGGAAAAATGGGAATTCGAGTGGAACAGGGGTGTTTATTCCTAAGGAAAAGCTGGGGAAAAATGTGAAGAATGTTATTGACAACTTTAATGCTAGAAAAGAAGAAGTGATGGGGAAGAAAGAGGAAGGTCAAAGGAAGGTTTATGTTCCAAAGAAGCAAGTGAATATTAAAGTTAGTTCTAACTTTGATAATGTGGGTTCTACATCAGGTAAAGATGTTCAGGATGAGATAATATCAAAAAATCCTTTTGATGTGTTACCTGATGAAATGGGGTTAAGGGATATGTCATATTTGGATGAGGTTGATCAGGAGATCATTACTGGTGGTGCCCAGGAGATAAGTACCGAAAACAACTTTGTTGATCAATGATGATGAGTCTTGGTTGCTGGAATGTGAGGGGTTCAAATTTAAGGCCTAAGCAAGAGGAAATATAAAAAAGATTATTCGTAGTAATAATCTTTCTCTTTTTTCTATACTTGAATCGCAAGTTAGATTCAATAATTTGGAAAAAACGTGTAACTCTGTGTTTGGAAATTGGATGTGGATTTCCAATCATGAGTATAGCAATAAAGGCACGAGAATTATAATTGGTTGGGACCCGGAGGAGTTGGTTGTTATGCCTTTAGATTCGAATGATCAGGTCATGCATTGCCAGGTTTTGTTTATTCGAGATAATAAAAGAATTTTTTGTTCTTTTGTTTATGCGTGTAGTTACTACATGGAGAGAAGAAAGCTTTGGAATTCTCTTGGGAGAAACAAAGATGTTGTGGGTGGGCTTCCTTGGTTAATAATTGGGGATTTTAATGTTACTAGGCAACTGTTAGATTCTACAGCGGGCTCTTCTCGGTTTTCAAGAGGGATGGTAGAATTTAATGAGTGCATGTGTAACACCGTAATTTTTCAAACAATTTTTCACATTTTTAAAAGCATACTTTCATTCATAGATGTTATAAAAATCTCATTGTATCACATATCAATCCATAGAAACACATCCCAATATCATAATGTATAAAACTCCTCATGTGTGTACTGATCATGCCGGCGCCTTCCCGCGATCCTCACTGGTACTTGAAACACATAACACAACACTATAAGCATAAATGCTTAGTGAGTTCCCCAAAATACCACATATAACACATATTAGCCACTCGAGGCTATAACTCTGTGGACCCTCCGGTCCTAACTCTGTGGACCCTCTGGTCCTAACTCTGTGAACCTTCCGGTTCTAACTCTGTAACTCTAGAACATACAAGGCATGAATCACATAGAAATAATGTAATGCAGTGTATCACAATCACATAAATAGCATACAAGATACTCTGTCACATAACTCTAATTACCACTCTAGGTAAAGTATAGTGAGAAGACTCACCTCGGGTAACTCGGTAAACCTCGAACTCTGAAATACTGCACTAGCCTTCGCCTAATCACATAAATAATTACTCTAATTAATACAACTTCTAAAGGCTAGGCCAACCCCTCTCTATAAGTTCTCTAAGAAGGGTAAAAGACCATTCTACCCCTCTAATGGCTCATAAGTCCAAACACTGACTAAACCCTAAAAGTTAACTAAAGTCAACGGTCAACATTGATCGGACTCGCCGAGTGCACTAGAGTGACTCGGCGAGTACATGCATTTCCTCTTCGCCCCTGGTCCTCACTTGACTCGCTGAGTCAACCCTATACTCCACGGGTCGTCACCGGTCGCGAGTCGCGGAGCAACCCGACTCGACTCGTCGAGTCCCTTATGGGCTCGGCGAGTTCCTCCCATGAAAACTTCTCCAAAGATCTCTTGAGGTCAGATCTGCTTCACCAACAAGTAGATCCAACCTTCTAACACTCGAAAGTCACGTAAAGGTTCAAACTTTACGTTCATGCAATGCTTATAAGACCAAAAATGAAGAAATAACCATTTAAATGGGGTTTTACTCTCAAGGCTCACATGAAAGCTGGAAGCTTGGGACCTTTTGGACCTCTCAAGGTCCAGATCTATCATCTATACCCAAAGGGACCTCATATGCTTCACAATCTAACTCAAAATTGTGCAAAGGAAACCCTAGATTCAAGGAATCTATCAAATACACGAAATGGGAAGGAACTTGTACCTCAAAACGTGAATCTCAGTGTGAACAACACAGATCCAAGCTCCTCAATCAGCCTAGCTTGTTCTACCTCCTTCCTTCTTGCTAAAACACACAAGAAATGGTGAGTTAGCCTTCCTCTTGCACCACAAACGATCTCTCTGCTCTCTAGGGTTTCTCAAGGGTGAAGTGGCCGCAAATGGAGGCCATAAAAGCCTTTAAATAGGGCATCAGGCCCTGAGATTTAGGGTTTCACTTTACAGCGCGGACTCGCCGAGTCCACGCATCGACTCGTCGAGTCCCTCATTAATCCAGACAAGAATTCGCGATCCTACTCGGCGAGTCTGAGCGCCTACTCGCCGAGTCCCTCCCTAAAACTCAGGGGTAAATACTTAAAATAAGATACCTGGGAATCCGGATGTTACAGCATGAATCAAATTGAAGTTCAAGACATTAATAAGAATGGTCTCCATTTCACTTGGAACCAAAGGCCTAGAGGAAATAATGGTGTTCCTAAAAAATTAGATAGAGTCTTGGGAAATTTTAAATTTATTGAGAATTTTCCGGATGCCTATGCTAATTTTCAGCCTTATAGAAATTCGGATCATAGCCTGATGATTGTTAGATTTCCGATCAAAAAGAAGTTTAGAGTTCGGCCGTTTAAATTTGTGAATACTTGAACTCTTTTGGAGGATTTTCTCCCAACGGTTGAAAAATTTTGGAGCTCTCCTGTTGAAGGGTTTGACATGTTCAGGTTATGTCAAAAGTTGAAGATTTTGAAAAAACCTCTCCGGAAATTACTGAATAATCATGGTAGTTATACGAAAAAAGTGCAGAAATGCAGAAGAATTGGACAGAGTGCAAACAGAGCTAGATAAAGATCCTTTTAATGGTGATTTACGATCTGAAGAAGGGTTTTATCTTCAAGCTTTTCTTAATGCTAGTAAAGAAGAAGAAAAGTTTTTAAAGCAAAGAGCTAAAGTGCAGTGGTTGAAGGAAGGAGACAGTAATTCTGCTTATTTCCATAAAGTTGTTAGGGGTAAGATAAACATAAACATAGTTGAAACCATTATGGGTAATGATGGGAATTGGAAAGAAGGTGATGAAGCTTGTAAGCAGATTGTGAAATATTTCAGTGATTTTTTGGGAGTTGATAGTGATGTTAGTCCCATTATTAATCCTGAAGATCTTTTTGAAAACAAGTTGAATCAAGATCAAGCTTTTGACATGGTCAAAGAGGTTACTTGTGAGGAAATTAAAGCTGCAGTTTTTGATATTGATGATGACAAAGCTCCAGGGCCAGATGGTTACACGTCGAAGTTCTTTAAGGCTGCTTGGGTGATAGTGGGAGATGATTTCTGTAAAGCAGTTAAAGAATTTTTTTGTAAGGAAAAGATTCTTAAGGAGATCAATGCTACTGCTATAGCTCTGGTTCCTAAAGTTCAGACTCCTGGTAAAGTGGGAGACTATAGACCGATTGCATGTTGCAATGTGGTCTATAAGTGTATTAGTAAACTAATTGTGAAGAGAATTCGAGATTTTCTTGGGTTTCTTGTGTCGGACAACCAATCAGCTTTTATTCCGGGCCGATCCATTCTTGATAATGTTCTTTTGTCCCAAGAGTTGGTGCGTGGTTATCACATTAATAGAGGGTATGCTCGTTGTGCTCTAAAGGTGGATATTCAAAAAGCATATGACACTGTTAATTGGAAGTTTTTGCAGAATATATTAGTGGCATTTGGTTTTCATAATTCCATGATTTCTTGGATAATGAATTGTGTGACCACTTCTTATTTCATGATTAATATCAATGGCAATTTTCATGGTTATTTTCAAGGAAAGAGAGGATTGAGGCAAGGCTATCCGTTATCTCCTTATCTTTTCACTCTTGTGATGGAAGTTTTCAATCTTATGCTCAAGAGAAGTATTCGTTAGAATGCTGGTTTCGAATATCATTGGAGGTGTAGGGCTCAGAAGATAACCCATTTATGCTTTGCGGATGATTTGATGCTTTTCTGTCATGGAAACACTGGATCCATTAGAATTGTAAAGAAAGCTATGGATGAGTTTGCTGGAACTGCAGGTCTTATTCCTAATTTGTCTAAAAGTCACATTTTTTTTGGTAATGTGAAAGAGCATTTTAAGAAAAAGATCCTTGATGTGCTTCCTTTTGTTGAAGGTAAACTTCCTATGAAGTATTTGGGAATTCCTTTAATTTCTACTAGGCTTTTTATTAGAGATTGTAAGAGTCTTGTTGAAAGAGTGAAATTAAAAGTTAATAATTGGAAGAATAAATCTCTTTCGTATGCTGGAAGGCTTCAATTAATCTGTTGAATGTGAAGTTTTTTCAAAGGTTGGCTGAAGACCCGGTTGTGTTTTTTGACTACTTCTGATTTCCATCTCTATATAAGAGATTCATCTGTATTTGTAAAACTTGTATCTAGAGTAACACAGAAAGAGTGCAGATTAGCACCAAGAAATATAAATTCCTAGTTACCGGTGGACGTAGGTCAGAGAAGGACCGAACCACGTTAAACCCCTCGTGTTCATCCTTGTGTTCTTGTTTTTCGTGAGCTGTGTGTGTGTTTAGAGTCGTGTGTTAAGTGTCTCGATCCTAACAAGTGGTATCAGAGCCTTGGTTTAGCTCCAGAGGGTGATTTTCTGTTTTTTGGTCGAAATTTTTTTCGTCAAAAACGATTTTGGTGTATACCGTTGGAAAGGTCTCGTTCCGAAGATTCCGAAAAAATATTTTTCTGAATTTTTTGACCACCGGAAGACGTCCAAATCGCCGGTCAAAGGTTTGCCGGAATAGTGACCGGGAAAACCAGTTCGCCGGAGAAGACGACGCTGTAGCACCAGACACTGTAGCAGTCCGCCGGAGAAGACGACACTGTAGCAGGAACTGTAGCACGACGTCAGCAGTGACGTCAACAGACACTGTAGCAACACTGTAGCAGATTTGAAAATTTGCAATTTGGCCCCTGAATTTCCAGAAAATTGCAAGATAGGTCATTGTTCTTTCAGAAAATGGCAGAAAGCAATAAGCTTCAGATTGAGAAGTTTGATGGGAAAGATTTTGGTTGGTGGAAGATGCAAATTGAAGATTTGCTCGTACAGAAAGACTTGGACGCAGTTTTAGGTGAAAAACCGGAGGCGATGACACAAGCAAACTGGGAGACTTTGGATAAGAAGGCCAAGGCATTTATTAGACTGACGTTGTCAAAGGATGTTGTCTTCAATATTTTGAAGGAGACCTCGGCAAAGGGAATCATGGAGGCATTGTCTAATATGTACGAGAAGCCGTCGGCAGCAAATAAAGTCTTCCTGATTCGGGAACTAGTCAACACGAGGATGAGGGAAGGAAGTTCAGTTACAGTACACATCAACAATTTGAACTCGATTTTATCCAGACTTGGGTCAGTGGGAATAAAATTTGAGGACGAAGTTCAAGCTTTACTACTGTTATCATCATTACCTGACAGTTGGTCCGGAACAGTTACAGCCGTTACTAGTTCCGCAGGATCGAAAGAGCTCACTTTTGAGGGAATTCGGGATTTAATTCTAGGCGAAGACGTCAGACGAAGAAATTCCGGGGAATCATCAAGTGAACAATTGAATGCGGTCAGAGGTAGAAGAAATAACAGAGGTAGTGGGAGCGGGAACAGGAGAAGGAGTCAGTCGAGGACTCGAAATGATGTGACTTGTTGGAACTGTAAAGAGGTTGGACATTTCAGGAATCAATGTCCAAAAGACAAGAAAGAAGTTAACGTTGCAGTAGACCATTCAGATGATGATGTTTTGATCTGTAGTGTGGAGAGCAATGTGGATTCCTGGGTTATGGATTCGGGTGCTTCATTTCACGCTACCCACATCCGTGAAGCACTGCGGAATCTGAAAGAAGGGGATTTTGGTAAGGTAAGATTGGCGAACGATGAGGTTCTTGATGTGACGAGCATAGGTGACTTAGATCTGAAGACTCCAGTCGGTCCATGGACTTTGAAGGATGTCCGGGTAATTCCAAGTCTGAAGAAACAGTTGATTTCTGTTGGGCAGTTGGATGAACAGGGACACGAGGTTAAGTTCAGGAATGGGCAGTGGAAGGTTGTCAAAGGAAATCTTGTGATAGCTCGTGGACATAAGAGGGGTTCATTATATATGGTCAGTTTACCGTCTGAGGGAGTAACTGTCCCAGTTCAGAAGAAAAACAAAATCCGGTTCATAGAGTCTCGTGGACAGAAGAAGGTTTGCTTTGCAGATGGCAAACCCAGAGTCACAGGTCAGATTCAGGTTGAACGTGTTTGGAACGGTTCAGAAAAACCAGTCAAGGCATTTGTAGCAGTGGAGCATGGGCTTTGTTTCAGCTAGAATACCCAGAACACAGTGGGTTAAGAGAACCAGTATTCCATCTGTAAAAGTCTCTCCAGATTATCTGCTTCACATGGAGAGTGTCGTTTGTTCTCAGGATGTTCCAGGATTGGGCAGTTCATTTCAGTGGGAGCCGGTGGAGACAGAGAACAGGTAAATTGAAGAGAAGGTCGGGTAACTAGGAAGGAGTTAAGATCAAATTTTTTAAAATACAGATGCACAGTTGAAGCACAGGTGAAGATTGTTCCGTGGCTTCAAGTGGGAGATTGTTGAATGTGAAGCCACAATTGTTGAACGTGAAGCCACAATTGTTGAATGTGAAGTTTTTTCAAAGGTTGGCTGAAGACCCGGTTGTGTTTTTTGACTACTTCTGATTTCCATCTCTATATAAGAGATTCATCTGTATTTGTAAAACTTGTATCTAGAGTAACACAGAAAGAGTGCAGATTAGCACCAAGAAATATAAATTCCTAGTTACCGGTGGACGTAGGTCAGAGAAGGACCGAACCACGTTAAATCCCTCGTGTTCATCCTTGTGTTCTTGTTTTTCGTGAGCTGTGTGTGTGTGTTTAGAGTCGTATGTCGATCCTAACATAATCAGCTCTATGCTTGCTTCTCTTCCAGTTAATTGGGCTTCTGTGGTTTTGATTCCTAGAGGCATCACTAATGATATAGAGAAAATCATGAGGAACTTTCTTTGGAACAGTGGGGAGAACAGGAAGGGAGTTGCTAAAGTTGCCTGGAATGAGATCTGTAAGCCTAAGATTTATGGTGGTCTTGGATTGAAGAATTTAAAAGATTGGAATATTGCTCTGTTGTCCGATAGAATTTGGAAGATTTTAAGTGGTCATAATTCTTTGTGGGTGAGATGGGTGAATTCTTACCTTTTGGAGGATAGAAGTTTTTGGGATGTGGGTTATAAAGATAAAATGAGTTGGAGTTGGAGAAATCTCTTAAAAATCAGGCCTCATCTTCGTGATTCTTTCTATGTTCAGATTGGAAGTGGTGAAGGAACGTTCATGTGGTTTGATAATTGGCATCAGTTGGGGCCTTTGAGTTATGTTCTGTCTCCTAGAGAGATAGCCAATGCTGGGTACAATATCAGAGATAGAGTTAGTGATGTTATTGTTAATGAAGAATGGAGTTGGCCAGATGAATGGTTAAGATTGATCCCGCAGCTAGGAGAGCACCCTGTTCCTAGTCTTATCAGAGGAAAAAAGGATGTGGTGTTTTGGTTGAATTGGAAGGGTGACATTGTTCCTTTTGCAGTTAATCAGGTCTCTTCTTCTCTTATCTGTCATGAATCTAAAGTTGGTTGGCATGAGTTGGTTTGGTTTCAAAATAGAATTTCAAGTCACTGTTTTATTCTTTGGCTTGCTATTCTTGGAAGGCTTAGAACTCAAGATAGAATGAAAAATTGGAAAGACTCAAATGAATTCTGTTGTGCTTTTTGTTACAATCAAATGGATTCCCATTCTCATCTGTTTTTTGATTGCAATTTTCCAAAGGAAGTGTGGGATTTGATGAAAGATAAGGTGAATCTTAAGCACAAACCAGGTAATTGGTTTGAAATTATCCAAGAACTCCAATGTTCCTTAAAGGTGAGAAGTATTGGTAATTTCATCAAAAAAAAATTGCTTTGGCTGCTTCCATTTATCATATTTGGAATGAAAGAAATAAAAGATTGTTTGGGAGAGAGAAAAACTCAGTGGAAAATGTTGTTAAGATTATCATAGAAGACATTAGACTCAAGATTTTTAGCCTTAATTTGGGTTATCTTGGGCTTAATGAAGAAATTTGTAGGGAATGGAATGTCCCTGTTAATAGAAGTACTTGTTTCTATGGAGATGGAAATTAAGTTGCTGTTGGATTGGAAGGATGTTTGTCAGGGTGGCTGGCATGGCAGAAAGAATAAGTGGTTGGTTTTGGTCTCTGTTATGGGGATTATGGCTAACAAAGAACAAATGTTCAATTTTTGGCCCAAAGGGTATTTTGGTCAATTTTGGGAAATAAAAGATCTGATTGAGATAATTGTTTTTGGGTGGATTAATAAGATGTTTTTTAGTTATGGAATGGGGGATATAAGGGGGTCTGTGAAGGTTTCTAGATGTGATTGGGTTGTGATTGTTAGAAACTGCTGGGGTCGGAGTTACAGGGGCCCTTTGTTTTTTACTGGGCAATTTCTAATGTTTGATCTCTTCTTCCTTTCTCCTTCGGAATTTTTTATTCAGCAATGGTGGGAGTTCTTTTTTTATTATATTGAGTCGCATGGTTTGGAGAATTCTATTTTTATTCTTTTTTCGGTGGATTGGCCCTGTAAATGGCATTTGAAGATAGATGTTGGATTGGGGAGGTTTGCTCGGTTATGGATTGGTCAATTTGGGTGGTGATTTTGAGGAGAATGATTGCAATTGGATTTTAAATATTACTATCTGTGTTCGATTTTCTATAATTCCAATTCTCCTCTGCGATTGTAGTTTCTTGAAGCTGTACAGAGGCGCGAGTTTTGTTAGATGGTTTTATGCGATGGGGAGGGCTAATTACCAGGGGCAGTTTGGGTATTCTTTTATTATCGAAGACTTCTGGTCCTGGAATGAGCAAAGTGATAGTTGGTTTGGGTCGAGAAGGTTTTGGCAGAGTTTATTTGATCTTTATTTTGTTTCTTTTCCTAATCTGTGGAGGTAGGGGCAAAATGGTCAATATTATGTGAATGTTCATATGGTTAGGGATAATATGGCGATTAAGGAGGGTTTGGATTCTGTTGATTCGGTTTAGACTTCATATATTCGAGATGATGGGTGGGGTTTTATGATTGAAGATTTTTTTGTCTGTACAGGAGGATTAATCGAAAAGGGCATTTTGGGAATTTTTATTTTTTTCGATGATGTTTGGCTCTGGTTTGATCTGAGAGGTGGTTGTGTTGATGGATTTTTTTCTTGGCATCAATTAATAGAACGATCTTTTTTATTGGGTTCTCATCTCTTGGGTTCAGGGACTTTTTGGTCAATCTGCAATTCTTTTCTTCATTCTCTTTTACTCAGGAGGTATTTTTTGGGGAGGAAATAAAGTGATGATCAATCATAGCAAGTGTAATTGGATTTTAGCTCCTGTTATGGTGAAAGGGCAAAATTGGAATTTTTGGATTTGGATGATTTCTATTGCTATTAATGGAGTTAATTCTCACTATTTGTATAAAGGAATTGATGGGCATGGGATTTTTGTCACTTTTTCCCTTAAAAGTGAATTGTTTTTCGGTTTGATCCCAAGTTTCATTTGGTTCTTATCTTATGAAGTGGATTTAATTCATTTACATTTGGGTTTTATTCCTAATTGTTATGAATTTCCGCCTTGGAAACAAGGTGTGTATATACACAATTGACGGATTTGGGATTTTTATCACTTTTTCCCTTAAAAGTGAATTGCATCTCGGTTTGATCCCGAGTTTCATTTGGTTTATGCCTTATGAAGTGGTTTTAATTCATTTACATTGGGGTTTTTTCCTCAATTGTTATGAATTTCCGCCTTGGAAACAAGGTGTGTATATCCATGGAATTGACGGATTTGGGATTTTTATCACTTTTTCCCTTAAAAGTGAACCTCCGCCTTGGAAACAAGGTGTGTATAAAAATGGAATTGACGGATTTGGGATTTTTATCACTTTTTCCCTTAAAAGTGAATTTCTGCCTTGGAAACAAGGTATGTTTATACAAGGAATTGACGGATTTGGGATTTTTATCACTTTTTCCCTTAAAAGTGAACTTCCGCCTTGGAAACAAGGTGTGTATATTCATGGAATTGACGGATTTGTGATTTTTATCACTTTTTCCTTTAAAAGTGAACTTCCGCCTTGGAAACAAGGTGTGTATATTCATGGAATTGATGGATTTGGGATTTTTATCATTTTTTCCCTTAAAAGTGAATCTCCGCCTTGGAAACAAGGTGTGTACATTCAAGGAATTGACGGATTCGGGATTTTTATCACTTTTTCCCTTAAAAGTGAATCTCCGCCTTGGAAACAAGGTGTGTACATTCAAGGAATTGACGGATTCGGGATTTTTATCACTTTTTCCCTTAAAAGTGAATCTCCGCCTTGGAAACAAGGTGTGTACATTCAAAGAATTGACGGATATTTTTTCTGTAAAACTTCAAGTTTTGAGCTCATTATGGAGTTTTTTTGGATGTTGGATGAAGATGCTGAGTTTGGGATTACTAAATTGAAGAGTAAGGGTATTCAAATTGGGGTGATTGAAGATTGGTTTCATTTGAAGATCTTGAAGAATAATAATTTTTTTGGGAAAAGGATTGATTATAGAGATGAGTTTTTTATTAACGATTTTTGGAGAGATGGATTCTTTATTTGGGTGGCTAAAGTTGAGAGATTACTTGTTCAAAGTTGGTTGCTTGAAGTTTGGATTGGTTCAAAGTTTTTGAAGGATAATGGTTTTTTTGGGAAGAAGATTGGATACTTTGAAGATTTTTTTGACATTGAGATTTGGTTTGATTTTTTTAATGGTTGGGGTTTTGTGATTTTGGGAATGTGGAATTATGTTTTCATTGGAATTCACAAGACTTTTCTTTTTTTGGGATATATGATGTATAAAAGCTTAAGGTGTACAAAGTTGGATGCTAATTTGGATACTAATTTGGGTTTAAAGCTTCGTCAAGAGTGTTTGAAGAAGTTGAGAGGTTTTGGGACTTATAGACATTTTTTGATTGATTGGGTTGAAGAAGGAGAATACCACTTTTGGAAGATGCATGAAGACTAGAAGACATTTGATTTGCATGGATGATTGGAAGGTTGAAGACCACTCCGGATTGTGGAGTTGGATGAGAATAAATTGTTGTTTATTTGCTTTAATTGTTGTTAGACCTAGTTTGTGCTTTTGGTACCTTTTAGATGTTTGGCTTAGGTGCACTTTTGGGGTTTGTCCAAAAGTGATTTAAACCCTTGTATTGTTCTTCTTTTTGGTATAAAATCTTTGCCGGGGCTGTGGCCTCTTTCCCAAATAAACCCTAAACCCTAAACCCTAAAACCCTAAACGCTAAACCCATGGAGTACTTTCTCTCTCTAGAATTTTTCTCTCTAGGAAACTCTCTTGGAGATTAAGTGTTTTTGATTTTTTCTTGGGGTTCTTGTGCTTAATCTTATAAATCTTTTGATTTTTGTTGGTTTTCGTTATGGGAAAGAATCATAGAAGACGTATTGGTTCAAAAAAACCAAAATCCAATGTAAAGGGGTTGGTGTTCTTGGTTCTTTTCATTTTGAAGATAGTCCCAGTTCATCTTCTTCATCTTTTTGTGTTAGCAATCATAGCCAAAAAGGCTTATTCTTCACTGATTCTCCAATTAATATGGAGGCAGAAGCTTCATCTACGCATGCAAATCAAGATCTAGATGAGGGAGCTGAAGAAGATGGCTTTCTCCATGAGAATGGTGAAGCAACAGAATCCGAAATTGATCCTGAAAGCTCTTTTATCTCTTCCGGCGGATGTTTGAAAGGGGCTGAAGGTACTTTCTGTATCATTGGAGAAGTTCGTGAAAGTAACGTAAGAACAAATGGTGCTCTCGTTCATGGGGATGGCCACCCACATTCTAGAATCAAGAATGGAGAAGGTTCAAAAAAAGCAGATGATGACGATTCTGATTCGTTTTCTGAGGATGAAGAGCAACCCGTCATTGAAAACCGTCTCCTGAAGAATGCGCATGGCGCGAAGGGTTGTTCTGTCGATGATGCTCCCGTCAATGTTGACGTTTCTGCTCGCAATAATTATGAAGGATTTGGATCTCGTGAATTTTTCAATGGTCGTGAAGATCTTCCCGTCTCTGATGATCCGCCTCGCGCAAGCGCTCCCATCGGTGTCGCTGATCGGCCACCTTCGTCGTCGGCTGTTGTGTCGCCGGCTATTCCTCAGCCGTGCGAAGGTGTTGACCTCCTTCCACATTCCGATCGCCGGTCCCCCCATCTGATGGCGGACGAGGAGATTATTTTGGAGATAAGGGTGATTGCGTTTTTAAGGAAAGTCAACAATCCTTGGGTGGTGGGTCCGTTTATCGAGCAGATTATTTTGGAGATAAGGGTGAGCTGGAGTCTTCTGCACGTGAAAACCTCCCCATGCACATTAATTGCCCACCTTTTTTAAAAAACCAAAGTCCAAAAGATGGAGACAAGGCATTAATTGCTGCCAATTCTGCCCCCCCCACTCTCCTTCCATGCGCGTACCGGACTCCCTTGCGCATGATCAGCCTTCTTGTGCGTCCAGCCCAATTTCTTTTTTTGGGCCCAATAGTCCTCATACGGTACAAACTCCTTTATCCTTTGCTGAGATTTTGTTGGGCAAGTCCAACTCCCCTTTTATTGGGCCTGTTTCCCCTGAATTCGCTGTAGAAGACCCATCGTGCAAGGCTGCCAGAACCAATTTTTTTTCATGATGAGGTCCCTCCTGTTAATCCCCTTAAACTCGATCTTGTCAATATTAATGATTCACTGGATGATGATTTTTTAATTATCCCTCTGGATATCATGGCTAACGGCAGCATCCCCTATGAACACACTTTATATGGTTATTTTATCGGTAAAAGACTTGCGTTTCCGCTTGTTAAAGATCGGCTCCAAGAATTATGGAAGGAACATGGAATTACCGACATCTTTATTAACAACGACGACATGTTCTTTTTTAAGTTTAACAACGATAATGGTTTAAATTATGTCCTCCAAAAAGGTTTTTGGAAGATTAATGGTATCCCACTATTCCTTAGAAAATGGGACCCGGATGTTTTCATTGAAAAACCTTCGCATGATCGGGTTCCCGTTTGGGTTAATATTTTTGGCATTTCTCTCCAACTTTTTAACAAGGATGGTCTTAGTCTCATTGCTAGCCAACTTGGAAAACCTTTGGAGGTTGACTCTTACACTACTTCCATGTGTGAGCGGGGTACGGGTAGAGCAATTTATGCCCGTATTCTCATTGAGATGTCGGCAAAAGATCCTTGGGCTAAAGATATAAAAATCAAAGCATTCATAGCTAAAGGTGCTACATCAACCACCCTTAAAGTGGAGTACTCTTGGTTCCCAAAGAGATGTGACCATTGCAAAAAAATTTGTCATGACCTTGCCACTTGCCCCACTCACACGACTAGCCCTCCCGTTCCAAAGACGGCCACTCCAACTCTAAATGAAGTTGACAAAGAAGGATTCCAAATGGTTAAAAGGAGATCTAGAGCTATTCCTATCTCTAAAAAGAAGGTTCAAGTTGACAACCGTAAAAGCAAAGGGCCCGTCATAAAGATCTCTCAAGTCTATAAACCAGTGATAAGCGAAGAGCCAAAGAAAAAGGTCACGACTAACATGTTTGATGCTCTTTCTCATCAAAGAGTGGATGATAATGTTGATGACTCTCGTATCCCTCCTGCTTCTCACTCCAGAGATACTCACCCAGTGCCTAACACACAACCGAGCTCCTCTCATGGTGATTGTTTCTCTTCTCCAATGGATCAGGTATGACGACTTTAGGTCTTTTTGTATTTAGCTCCTAGTTGTATTCTTTGTGTTAGCTTTGGGGCATGTCCCTTAGCTTGTCTTGTTTTTTTTTTCATGGGCGTTTGCCCTCTTTCTTTTGTATTTTCTGTTTTTTATTAATAAAACTTGCCAAGGTTAATCCCTTTTATCCAAAAACCCTAAACCCTAACCCTGAACCCTGAACCCTGAACCCTGAACCCTGAACCCTGAACCCTCAACCCTAAACCCTAAACCCTAAACTGGAGAAGGCCCAACTGGAACATCCATGCACTTTGGGCCATCATCTACGACATTAGGAGGAAAAGGCCCAACTCGAGAAGAAATGGACTTGTCCAACAAGACTTCAGCAAAGGATAAAGGCTCATTAATAGTATTTGGGCCGTTGGGCCCATAATGAAGAGAGGAAGGCTCAACATCGTGACAAGGGGAGGAGGGGCGAGAAGTAATAATATTTGGGCTGTTGGGCCCATAATCATTAACGGCAGTGGGCTTGGGGGGAATGGAGGGTGCAGCAACGAAAGGTGGGTCGTTGATAGGAGGGCAGCCTTTAACGATATCAACAAATGTGAGGGCTTGTTGGGCAAGGTTCATTAGCCGACATCTCAATGAGAATACGGGCCCACACAAGGATTTTTGGAGGAGTCTTTCAAGGGATTTGCTGGCACGCACAAAGAGGGAAGGTGGGAGGTGTGAAGAGGCGCATTAAAGGCTCTGTCTCCCACTAAGGAATCACAATTAATGTGCATAGGGTTTCCTACATAAGCAGCCGACTGATAGGCTTCCCCCATTCCTTTTTTCGTGTAGCTCATGTTAACAGTTCTTGAACAAGGGTAAGGTTGACTTTCTAAATTAGAGAAATCCCCCATACCCATGCTGGAAGAAACCGATGTAGAAGCCTTTCCAACAGGGGCAGAGGAATCTTTTCCAAAATAAGCTTCGTTCTTCGTCAGATGAGTTGACCGGCGATCGACAGGCAAAGGTTGACCGTCACCTACGCAAAGAGACGACGCATCCATGGGAGAGGAGTCCGATGCCGGAAACGCGAGCGGCTGGACAGTACCGCCAACAGGACAACGTGGAAGTCTAACCGGGTCTTCAAACTTTTCCGAAGCCAGTTTCTCTTGCTTGTAAAATTTCCCATATGTTCTCTTCACGAGAAAACCCAGCTTCGTAAAAAGCGATATCGAAGGAGGTGAAAAGAGAGACCTCGACTCCCAACTGGGTTTCATCCTCAGAAAACTCCTCCACCACTCCATCTCTTTTAGCAAACTCCATAACAGGTTTATCGAACGGGCCCTTGGTAGTTTCAATATTTGATTCAGCCATCGTGCATGGAGGGGAGGGACATCCAACGGACAGGAGGCGAGGGGTGTCTTGGCCAGCCGTTACCATGGTTGGAGAGGTCGAATAGGACAACACGTCCCCACCATCAGAATCCGATAGAGCCTCCAATATTTCATATTTTAAAACGAGAGCACCACTAGCGACTTCAGATGTATCGTAACCCAAATTTTTTCCTTCAACAACGATATCAGCAGCAGAAGAAGAAGTTTCGACCACCATAGGAGGTGGTGAGTCAGAGAAGAATAATGTTTTGTTGCTGTGGTTGCTAACACAAGTGGAAGATGAACTAACCTTTTTTCCCTGATCGTGATGAGCATCATGATCATGAACACTGTTTGCAAGGTTTCCAGGACTATCTTCAAAATGGAAAGAGCCAAGAATATCAACCTCTTTATCATGATATTCTGATTTTTTGAGGATCTACGAACCCTATGAATCTTTCCCATGATAATCATAACAAGATACCAACAAATAACCAACAGATTATAAGAAATTAAGCATAAAAACCCTACAGAAGAACAAGAACACTTAATCTCCAAAAGAATTTCTTAAAGAGAAAAATTCTAGAGAGAGAAAGTACTATGTGGGTTTTGGGTTTAGGGTTTAGGGTTTGGGTTTAGGGTTTAGGGTTTAGGGTTTAGGGTTTAGGGTTTAGGGTTTAGGGTTTAGGGTTTAGGGTTTAGGGTTTTTGGATAAAAGGGATTACCCTTGGCAAATATTATTAATAAAAAAAAGATTACAAAAGAAAGGAGGGCAAACGCCCAAGAAAAAATAAAAATAAGACCAAGCTAAGGGACAGGCCCCAAAGCAAGGCAAAACAAAGAAAAACAAAGATCTAGCTAGACAAGTCCTAAAACAACATCAACCCTGGTCCACTGGAATAGAGATATGGCCACCGTGAGAGGAGCTCGGATGGGTATCGGAAGATGGGAGAGTATCTCTTTGTTGGATGACATGAGGGAAGCAAGAATCGTCTTCAGTGTCGTCAATTCTTTGATGCGAGAGAGCATCAAACATGTTGGAAGACACATTCTTTTTCTTCGGATCACGAGAGATTGAACTTCGACGTTAGGGTTTCAGCCTACTCCCCACGAAATTAATTTAATTCATGATCCTGACCCACCTACCCTTCAGCCCAATTCTGAGGTTCCCCTTGCTGCCGATCTCGACAATGATGCTGAAAATTTTGATGGGGTATTTTCCAAGCCTATTTCTCTCAATTTCATTAATAATATTAATATTTTGGAGGATGACCACATTTTAATTCCCTTGGAAATTATGGAAAAGGGTAGCACTCCTTTTGAAAGAACGTTATATGGTTATTTTGTAGGGAAAAGGCTTGCTTTTCCGCTTGTCAAAGATCGGCTCCATGATCTTTGGAAGGAACATGGTTTATGCGACATTTTTATTAATAATGATGACATGTTCTTTTTTAAATTTGATAACGACAAGGGTATGAATTACGTCCTTCAAAAGGGAATTTGGAAGATCAATGGAATCCCGCTCTTCCTTAGAAAATGGGACCCGGATGTTTTCATTGAAAAACCAACTCATGATCGGGTCCCCGTTTGGGTTAATATTTTTGGCATCCCCTTCCAACTCTTTAACAAAGATGGCTTAAGTCTTATTGCTAGTAAACTTGGAAAGCCTTTGGAGGTTGACTCTTACACCTCCACCATGTGTGAGCGGGCTACGGGTAGAGCGGTTTATGCCCGTATTCTCATTGAGATGTCGGCTAATGAACCTTGGGCAAATGATATAAAAATCAAAGCAATCACGGCTAAAGGTGCTACATCTACCACACTAAAAGTGGAGTACTCTTGGAACCCAAAGAGATGCGACCATTGCAAAATTTTTGGTCACGATCTTGCCAATTGCCCCACTCACTTGACTTGTCCTCCCGTCCAAAAGACGGCTACGCCCACCCCGATTGCAGTGGACAAAGAAGGGTTTCAAATGGTTAAAAGGAGAACTAGGGCTATCCCTATCTCTAAAAAGAAGGTTCAAGTTGACAATCGTAAAAGCAAAGGGCCCGCTTTAAAGATCGCCCAAGTCTACAAGCCAATCTCTCGTGATCCGAAGAAAAAGAATGTGTCTTCCAACATGTTTGATGCTCTCTCGATTCAAAGAATTGACGACACTGAAGACGATTCTTGCTTCCCTCATGTCATCCAACAAAGAGATACTCTCCCATCTTCCGATACCCATCCGAGCTCCTCTCACGGTGGCCATATCTCTATTCCAGTTGACCAGGGTTGATGTTGTTTTAGGTATTGTCTAGCTAGATCTTTGTTTTTCTTTGTTTTGCCTTGCTTTGGGGCCTGTCCCTTAGCTTGGTCTTATTTTTATTTTTTCTTGGGCGTTTGCCCTCCTTTCTTTTGTAATCTTTTTTTTATTAATAATATTTGCCAAGGGTAATCCCTTTTATCCAAAAACCCTAAACCCTAAACCCTAAACCCTAAACCCTTAACCCTAAACCCTAAACCCAAACCCTAAACCCTAAACCCAAAACCCACGGAGTACTTTCTCTCTCTAGAATTTTTCTCTTTAAGAAATTCTTTTGGAGATTAAGTGTTCTTGTTCTTCTGTAGGGTTTTTATGCTTAATTTCTTATAATCTGTTGGTTATTTGTTGGTATCTTGTTGTGATTATCATGGGAAAGATTCATAGGGTTCGTAGATCCTCAAAAAAATCAGAATATCATGATAGAGAGGTTGATATTCTTGGCTCTTTCCATTTTGAAGATAGTCCTGGAAACCTTGCAAACAGTGTTCATGATCATGATGCTCATCACGATCAGGGAAAAAAGGTTAGTTCATCTTCCACTTGTGTTAGCAACCACAACAACAAAACATTATTCTTCTCTGACTCACCACCTCCTATGGTGGTCGAAACTTCTTCTTCTGCTGCTGATATCGTTGTTGAAGGAAAAAATTTGGGTTACGATACATCTGAAGTCGCTAGTGGTGCTCTCGGTTTAAAATATGAAATATTGGAGGCTCTATCGGATTCTGATGGTAGGGACGTGTTTTCCTATTCGACCTCTCCAGCCATGGTAACGGCTGGCCAAGACACCCCTCGCCTCCTGTCCGTTGGATGTCCCTCCCCTCCATGCACGATGGTTGAATCAAATATTGAAACTACCAAGGGCCCGTTCGATAAACCTGTTATGGAGTTTGCTAAAAGAGATGGAGTGGTGGAGGAGTTTTCTGAGGATGAAACCCAGTTGGGAGTCGAGGTCTCTCTTTTCACCTCCTTCGATCTCGCTTTTTACGAAGCTGGGTTTTCTCGTGAAGAGAACATATGGGAATTTTAGAAGCAAGAGAAACTGGCTTCGGAAAAGTTTGAAGACCCGGTTAGACTTCCACGTTGTCCTGTTGGCGGTACTGTCCAGCCGCTCGCGTTTCCGGCATCGGACTCCTCTCCCACGGATGCGCCGTCTCTTTGCGTAGGTGACGGTCAACCTTTGCATGTCGATCGCCGGTCAACTCATCTGACGGAGAACGAAGCTTATTTTGGAAAAAATTCCTCTGCCCCTGTTGGAAAGGCTTCTACATCGGTTTCTTCCAGCATGGGTATGGGGGATTTCTCTAATTTAGAAAGTCAACCTTACCCTTGTTCAAGAACTGTTAACATGAGCTACACGAAAAAGGAATGGGGGAAGCCTATCAGTCGGCTGCTTATGCAGGAAACCTTATGCACATTAATTGCGATTCCTTAGTGGGAGACAGAGCCTTTAATGCGCCTCTTCACACCTCCCACCTTCCCTCTTTGCGCGTGCCAGCCAATCCCTTGAAAGACTCCTCAAAAAATCCTTGTGTGGGCCACGATTTTGAAACCCCTCCCCCCACTTTCTATCCCAGCGAATGATTCTAGTCCTCTACCTTCATTATTTGGGCCCAACAGCCCAAACATTGCCCAACAAGCCCTCACATTTGTTGATATCGTTAAAGGCTGCCCTCCTATCAACGACCCACCTTTCGTTGCTGCACCCTCCATTCCCCCCAAGCCCACTGCCGTTAATGATTATGGGCCCAACAGCCCAAATATTATTACTTCTCGCCCCTCCTCCCCTTGTCACGATGTTGAGCCTTCCTCTCTTCATTATGGGCCCAACGGCCCAAATATTATTAATCAGCCTTTATCCTTTGCTGAAGTCTTGTTGGACAAGTCCATTTCTTCTCCAGTTGGTCTTTTCCTCCTAATGTCGTAGATGATGGCCCAAAGTGCATGGATGTTCCATTCAATTTGTTGCAAGACGAGGTACCTTCTGTTATACCCATCAAACTTGATTTTGTTGACATTGTTAATTCCTTGGAAGATGACATTTTAATTATCCCTCTGGATATCATGGCCAACAGAAGCATTCCTTATGAACATACTTTATATGGTTATTTTGTTGGTAAAAGGCTTGCTTTCCCGCTTGTTAAAGAGAGACTCCAAAACTTATGGAGGAACATGAAATTTCCGACATCTTTATTAATGATGATGACATGTTCTTTTTTAAGTTTAACAATGACAATGGTATGAATTATGTCCTCCAAAAAGGAATTTGGAAGATTAATGGTATCCCGCTCTTCTTAAGGAAATGGGACCCGGATGTTTTCATTGAAAAATCAACACACGATCGGGTTCCCGTTTGGGTTAATATTTTTGGCATCCCTCTCCAACTTTTTAATAAGGATGGCTTGAGTATCATTGCTAGCAAACTTGGCAAGCCTTTGGAGGTGGATTCTTATACTTCCACAATGTGTGAGAGGGACACCGGTAGAGCGGTTTATGCTCGTATTCTCGTTGAGATGTCGGCTAAAGCTCTTTGGGCAAATGAAATAAAAAATAAAAGCGTTCATGGCTAAAGGAGCCATATCCACAACCCTTAGAGTTGAGTACTCTTGGAACCCTATGAGATGCGACCATTGCAAAAATTTTGGTCATGATATTGCCACTTGCCCCAGTCGCACGACTAGCACTCCCGTCCAAAAGACGGCTACGCCCATTCCGAAAGAAGTTGACAAAGAAGGCTTTAAAACGGTTAAAAGGAGAAATAGAGCAATTTCTATCCCAAAAAACAAGATTCAAGTTGACAACCGTAAAGGTAAAGGGCCTACTATAAAGATCTTTCAAGTCTATAAACCAGTGACCCGTGTAGAGCCAAGGAAAAAATTTACGACCAACATGTTTGACGCTCTCTCTCATCAAAGAGTGGACGATACAAATGACGACTCCCGTATCCCTCCTATTACCCACTCCATAGATACTCATCCTCCTTCTGATGCACAGCCGAGCTTTTCTCAAGGTGGTCGTTTCTCTTCTCTAGTTGATCAGGGATGACGATTTTAGATTTTTTTATATAGTTAGTTTCTAGTTGTTTGTTTGTTTTGTCTTTGATTTGGGGCATGTCCCTTAGCTTGTCTTGTCTTTTTTACTTGGGCGTTTGCCCTTTTCTTTTGTAATTCTTCCTATTCTTAATAAATTTTTCCAAGGGGTTTCCCTTTTTCCCAAAAAAAAACCCTAAACCCTAAACCCCAAAAACCCTAAACCCAAAACCCATGGAGTACTTTCTATCTCTAGAAGCTGGGTTTTCTCGTGAAGAGAACAGATGGGAATTTTACAAGCAAGAGAAACTGGCTTCGAAAAAGTTTGAAGACTCAGTTAGACTTCCACGTTGTCCTGTTGGCGGTACTGTCCAGCCGCTCGTGTTTTCGGCATCCGACTCCTCTCCCACGGATGTGTCGTCTCTTTGCGTAGGTGACGGTCAACCTTTGTCTGTCGATCGCCGGTCAACTCATCTGACGGAGAACGAAGCTTATTTTGGAAAAGATTCCTCTGCCCCTGTTGGAAAGGCTTCTACATCGGTTTCTTCCAGCATGAGTATGGGGGATTTCTCTAATTTAGAAAGTCAACCTTACCCTTGTTCAAGAACTGTTAACATGAGCTACATGAAAAAAGGAATGGGGGAAGCCTATCAGTCGGCTGCTTATGCAGGAAACCCTATGAACCTTAATTGTGATTCCTTAGTGGGAGACAGAGCCTTTAATGCGCCTCTTCACACCTCCCACCTTCCCTCTTTGCGCGTGCCAGCCAATCCCTTGAAAGACTCCTCCAAAAATCCTTGTGTGGGCCACGATTTTGAAACCCCTCCCCCACTTTCTATCCCAGCGAATGATTCTAGTCCTCTACCTTCATTATTTGGGCCCAACAGCCCAAACATTGCCCAACAAGCCCTCACATTTGTTGATATCGTTAAAGGCTGCCCTCCTATCAACGACCCACCTTTCGTTGCTGCACCCTCCATTCCCCCCAAGCCCACTGCCGTTAATGATTATGGGCCCAACAGCCCAAATATTATTACTTCTCGCCCCTCCTCCCCTTGTCACGATGTTGAGCCTTCCTCTCTTCATTATGGGCCCAACGGCCCAAATATTATTAATGAGCCTTTATCCTTTGCTGAAGTCTTGTTGGACAAGTCCATTTCTTCTCGAGTTGGGCCTTTTCCTCCTAATGTCGTAGATGATGGCCCAAAGTGCATGGATGTTCCATTCAATTTGTCGCAAGACGAGGTACCTTCTGTTATACCCATCAAACTTGATTTTGTTGACATTGTTAATTCCTTGGAAGATGACATTGTAATTATCCCTCTGGATATCATGGCCAACGGAAGCATTCCTTATGAACATACTTTATATGGTTATTTTGTTGGTAAAAGGCTTGCTTTCCCGCTTGTTAAAGAGAGACTCCAAAACTTATGGAGGAACATGAAATTTCCGACATCTTTATTAATGATGATGACATGTTCTTTTTTAAGTTTAACAATGACAATGGTATGAATTATGTCCTCCAAAACGGAATTTGGAAGATTAATGGTATCCCGCTCTTCTTAAGGAAATGGGACCCGGATGTTTTCATTGAAAAACCAACACACGATCGGGTTCCCGTTTGGGTTAATATTTTTGGCATCCCTCTCCAACTTTTTAATAAGGATGGCTTGAGTATCATTGATAGCAAACTTGGCAAGCCTTTGGAGGCAGATTCTTATACTTCCACAATGTGTGAGAGGGCCACGGGTAGAGCGGTTTATGCTCGTATTCTCGTTGAGATGTCGGCTAAAGCTCCTTGGGCAAATGAAATAAAAAATAAAAGCGTTCACGGCTAAAGGTGCCACATCCACAACCCTTAGAGTTGAGTACTCTTGGAACCCTATGAGATGCGACCATTGCAAAAATTTTGGTCATGATCTTGCCACTTGCCCCAGTCGCACGACTAGCACTCTCGTCCAAAAGACGGCTACGCCCATTTCGAAAGAAGTTGACAAATAAGGCTTTGAAACGGTTAAAAGAAGAACTAGAGCAATTCCTATCCCAAAAAAGAAGATTCAAGTTGACAACCGTAAAGGTAAAGGGCCTACTATAAAGATCCCTCAAGTCTATAAACCAGTGACCCGTGTAGAGCCAAGGAAAAAATTTACGACCAACATGTTTGACGCTCTCTCTCATCAAAGAGTGGACGATACAAATGACGACTTTCGTATCCCTCCTGTTACCCACTCCAAAGATACTCATCCTCGTTCTGATGCACAGCCGAGCTCTTCTCAAGGTGGTCGTTTCTCTTCTCCAGTTGATCAGGGTTGATGATTTTAGATTTTTTATATAGTTAGTTTCTAGTTGTTTGTTTGTTTTGTCTTTGCTTTGGGGCATGTCCCTTAGCTTGGCTTGTCTTTTTTTCTTGAGCATTTGACCTTTTCTTTTGTAATTCTTCCTATTCTTAATAAATTTTCCCAAGGGGTTTCCCTTTTTCCCAAAAAAAACACTAAACCCTAAACCCTAAACCCTAGACCCTAGACCCTAAACCCTAAAACCTAAACCCTAGACCCTAGACCCTAGACCCTAAACCCTAAACCCTAGACCCTAAACCCTAAACCCTTGACCATAACCCCTAAACCCTAGACCCTGAACCCTAAACCCTAATCCAAAAAAAACCCTAAACCCTAAGCCCTAAACCCTAAGCCTTAAACCCTAAACCCTAAACCCTAAACCTAAACCCTAAACCCTAAACCTTAAACCCTAAACCCTAAAAAACCCTAAGCCCTAATCCGTAAACCCTAAACCGTAAACCCTAAACCCTAAACGCTAAACAAGGATCGTACAACTGCACACACACTTCTGGTACGTGATTACTTTACCGATGATTGTGTATGTAACCATAGTCAACTAAAATGTCATTTTCGTTTCAATAGATGTTTATTCATGCATATAGCTAATGATTTGGAAGCTAATTATGAATATTTTCAATTGAGATGGGATGCTAGAGGTAGATGGGGTTTTAGTGAAGTATACAACGACAATTCGACTTATGGCATATGACATCACCGCGAATGCATAAGATGAATATCTGAAGATGTATGAGAGAACAACCCGAGAATGTGTATATTTCTTTTTTGATTATTTTTAGACCTTTACAGTGTAATATATTCGTGGAAACCTACAAGAAGTGATGTTGAACAGTTGAACGTTGCACATCAAGCTAAACACGATTTCCTGGGAATGCTTGGTAGCATTAATGGTACACATTTGGCGAGGTCAAGTCATACAAGGTGATCATGAAATGTCGACTATAAACGATTTATGGTTTTGGTATGCATTCTTTGGCATGGCGAGGTCAAACAATGATATGAATGTGTTAGGTGTGTCACTGATATTCAATGACATTCTGCAGGGTAAAGAACCTAATTTATTGTATGTTGTGCATGGAAATAAATACAAGTTTGGGTATTACTTTGGAGATGAGATATATTCGAAGTATGCTACATTTGTCAAATCATACACATATCCACAAGATGGAAAAGAAAATTTTTTCAAGCTAGCACAAGAATCGACAAGGAAGGATGTTGAACAGGTACCTTGGAGATGGGGTATATTCGGAGTATGCTACATTTATCAGATCATACACATATAAACGGGTACCTTGGAGATAGGATATATTCGAAGTATGCTACATTTATCAAATTTTACACATATCCACAAGATGAAAAAGTAAAATTGTTCAAGTTAGCAAAAGAATCGAAGGATGTTGAACATGCTTTTGGTGTGCACTAAGAAAATGTCACATAATAAAACACCCGATACGATCAAATGATAGGGCGAAAATAAATAAGGCAATGACTGTTTGTGTCATTTTACATAATATGAAAATAGAAGATAATGATTAGACTATTTGTATGTATAATACGAACAATTTACTTCCTCCACTTGTACAAATACAAGTTGGCATCCTAGAATACTACGTGAGAGTTTTGAAATTACAAAATACAGAAATGCACAACAATCTCCGTCAAAATTTGATAGTGCACATATACATATACAAGAGCCAAAAGAACCATGACGATGAGCACGACTACGACAAAATCGACAACAACGTATGGTAGTTTTTCCTTTATAATGTTAAACTTTAACTAAAGGGTTTCTAGTCCAACGGTATCTGGTGGTGTCTTTCCTCTTTGAGGTTGAGGGTTCAAGTCTCGTTGTGGACATAAGTGGAATTAAAGAGTAGATTAAATTTACCGTTTAAAAAAAATGTTAAACTTTAAATTTTTATTGTCATCTTTAATTTTTCTTTTGATTTTTTTTATTTTTAATTAGACTATTTATTTTTTAAAAAGATTCAAATTTATTTTAATTATGTAATTAATTTATTTTTGTTTTGTATAGTTTTAATAATGTAATATTATATTATAATAATAATAATAATAATAATAATAATAATAATAATAATAATAATGTGGGGTTGAAGTAAATATTCTGTGAGGAACGATGTAGTGGACTGGACTCCTTCCGTTAGTTTATGAGGTTGATCTACATCCAGTCATCCATATGATAATGGAGATGAGAAAATCGATCCATATGGTTACTATCTGGGGGAATGCAGATACGCGGGTTGCCCATTACTTTGGACTGCTGCCATCCAGTGAACGTGGTGGAGGCTGCCGTTACCATTTCCGATGTTGTCTATAGCCCCATTTATGCTGCTGCTTTTTCATCCACCAAAATCAAATACCCTCCAATTTACAGTTACAAACCAATACCCCTTGGAGCGACTTCACGAATTTCAGTACCTTTCGCTGCATCCTGTTCCAAGGGAGATTCCGGCGAGTCATTGAACGATTGCAGCGATACTGACTTGCAACAAGTGTCCGAACCACCTCCCACTGGAGCTGATGATATTGAGGTTGAGATAGAAAAATTAAGCAAAAACCGAAGGAGAATCCGGTCCAAGGTCGCCGTCGAGGCCAGTCTCGAAACCATTTGGGGCATCCTGACCGATTATGATAGGCTGGCCGACTTCATCCCTGGTCTCGCTGTAAGCCAGGTGCTTGATAAAAAAATTAATTTTGCCCGTCTTCTTCAGGTAACTCCAATTTTGGCTTGATCCTGGTATATATTCTTACTCTAATCAAGGCCTTTACGTTGGATTTGATCAAACCATATGTAAACACTAAACCCCAAAATAGGATCATTAGTAGAAAATCTGTTAACAAGGAATATCTTATTACTAAATTAGTCAGCAGGACACACGATGTTGTTGATACTAATAGTCCTAGCCTAGGTAACACATTATGTTTTTTCTTGAGTTGAAGGACTGGTGAGTAACTTTTTAGAATGGTTTTATTTATTATGGCAAATGACAGGATATAGCAACCTACTTTACTCTTTTTACCAATATAAGCAACATACTTTATATCTTCATAGATTGGGGAGCAAAAACTGGCATTTGGTTTGGTTTTCAATGCTAAAGGCATTGTTGATTGTTATGAAAAAGATTTTGAAAGGCTTCCATGTGGTCAAAGGCGTGATATAGAGTTTAAAATGATTGAGGGTGATTTTTCACTCTTTGAAGGGAAGTGGTCTATTGAGCAGGTCAGGCCTTTCCATATATGTTTTTAGTTCCTTTCCTTATGATGGTTTTGATTTTGAAATGAAATGTGTATTTATTAATGGTGCAGTTGACTGATGAAAAGAGGTTTGACCAACAGTATCATACAACTCTTTCATATGCAGTTGATGTGGAGCCCAAAATGTGGTTGCCTGTTCAACTTGTTGAAGGCCGGCTTTGTAGAGAGATAAAAATGAACCTTTTCTCCATCAGAGAAGTAGCACAAAAAGCATCTGATAATATTTCTTCTTTTTAGTGTCTGAAAAATTCTTTTGTCTTGGCTTGTTTTAGCTTTCAATGTAGTTTTGTAAACTTGTTCTATTGTTAGTGAAAGAAATTTTGTTTATGGTGCTTAAATAAAGCAACCGAGTACAAAATTCTACTAATGCCTGCTTTGTAATGATAAATAGATGATTTTAGGCATGTGACTTGACAAATCATCAATTTTATAAGTTGTTACATACTTCACAACCTGTATTCATATTCAAGTATTTAGTGATCAATTCCCTCAAAATGGCTTATCTACATTTGACTTGGGTAGCAATGATGTATTTGTTGCCAGAACTTTTTATTGCTTGTAATGGTAGTTAGTTAGCTATGATGATCTGATCTGCATGTATTACATTGTAATAGGGGAGGTGCTTATGTTACTAGCCTAAATAAAGAACATAGGTTTGAGGTTTGTGCGGGTGAAATGAGTTTTTTGTTAATTATTTTTCCTATATGCCAATTTTAAAGCAACATGATTTACATGTATAGACTCAAAACAAAAGCTTAAAAAACCATTGACAGTTGCCATCTATAAGCATAGCCAAATCGACGAAATATAGAAAAAAAAAAGTACAAGCTATTATGGGCCTCTTATAGAAAAAATCTCTAAACTAAAATCGTGATTGGTAAAAGAGATACATTAGATTTTACCCTTTTAATTTTATCGAACTCCAGCTGAGTCCAGTTGTAAATCTTATGCTGGTTAAATTCTATTATGGGGATGAAATGGTTACTAATCTATCTATATCATATCATATCATATCATACTATACTATAAAAGAAACATTTATCCTTTCACCATATCAATTTGAAACTCCCAACTCTTCATATTTCCATATAATTTACTTAATTTATTAACTTAAATATGTTGTTACTTATAAACATTATCATAAATGAAAGACATCTTCAATTATCAATATGATATACTAATTTTGTTGACTTCAATATAGTGTTGAATACATAACCTAAATTAATATATTAAATAAACTTAAAAATATAGTGTAAAAATTAAAACCTAAATTAAAATATCAAATAAAGTTTTAAAATTCAACATATATTTTTCTTAAAATAGTTAAAAGGAAAATATTAGATACGATAAATATAAAAATCTTAAATCCAAACGTCGAATTAACTAAAAGCTGTCCAAAAACTATTTTTTATAATAACTAAAACTCAATGAAGTTGTTTTAAAATTAATTTATATAATAATTAAAAATAACATCATATCATATCATATCATATCATATCATATCATATCATCATATCATATCATACTATATTATAAAGGAAACATTTTTTCTTTCACCACATTCATTTGAAACTCTCATGAATTTTTTCTTTCACCACATTCATTTGAAACTTTCATGACTTTTCAATTTCTTTCTAATAATGATTATAAGTTGGTTAATAAGATTAAATAAATATCAAACCTAAAGTGTAATCATATATAAACTAAATTTCAATATTAAAAGAATAATTTTAATTCTACTTATAAAGTTATGTTTTTTAACTTTTTACATATTATACTTAATTTATTAGTTTTAATATATTGTTGAATGTAAACCATTATCATTTTAAAGCTACAACTTTTGAACAATTTGTATAAAATATTTAAATTATAAACTTAAATATAACATTACAGGTCCAACTTAAATATAAATTTTAGTTTAACTTAAACAACCTAAATAATATTTTGAAAATAGTTAAAAGTGATAAATTGTAGTGTCTTTCTAATAATGATTATAATTTGGTTAATAAAGTTAAATAAATATGAAAGCTAAAGTGTAATCATAAATAAACTAAGTTTCAATATTAAAATAATATCTTTACTTCTACTTATAAAGTTATGTCTTTAACTTTTAACATATTATACTAAATTTATTAGATTTAATATGTTGTTGTATGTAAACCATTATCAATTTAAAGCTAAATGCAAAAACTAAATTATAATATCAATTTAACTAAAATATTTTCTAAAGATATTTGTATAATCGTTAAAAGTTTTCAAACAAATAGCTTAAAATAACTTACAATAACAATAGTTATAAATAACTCTATATAAATGATTATATTGTTACATTTAAAATCAAAAAACAATGTCTGATGTTTTAAATAATTATAATGATATAAATTAAAACGTTAATAAAATAAATTTTAAAAAATTAATTAACAACTAGAAAGTCCCCCCCCCCCCCCCCCGCGTTGCGGGGGCGGAAGGTGTTGCTTTTGCGTGAAAGTAAAGTACATTGCCTAAGTTGTTAGCGACAATAAAGTACGTTGCCATTGTAGGAGATTTGTCCATTTACAAACGTGTAAATACAATCCAATAATTTGATAGAATTTTTACAGGACAATGTGTTAATAAGAAAAGATATCAAAGTGTTGTAGTGTGCTATAAAAAAAAGAATTAAAAAAAAATGTACATTGCTAAATTGAAAGAGATTATAGAGGCTGGAAAAGACTAAACACTAAAAACCAACCTGCTCATGCCTATAAAAAAAGGTAATGTATAATAAAAATCATTTAAATTAATATATAATCATTATAAATCCATATTTCATAAATAAAACATCGTTAAATATTTAATAGAAATCATATTTACAAGCATGTGAAGGTAGGGTCCCTTCTCATTTTCAACACAATGACCATATTTTTTATTATGGCAGATCCTTTATAACGAACATTTAAATACCCACAACTATTAATACATAAAACAAAAAATTATTGCAACAAAATTGCACTTGATTTGACAAAAAAAAAATGTTTTTTACTTCAAATCAATGAATATATTAACACAATTTCAGTCAAAACTCATGGTAAATACATAAGCTACAACTTTATGTAAAATCATATAATAAAAAGAACACATACACTTCCATACTCTATAAATCTGAGGGTGATTGAGGTTGCGGTGGCTAAATGGCCCAGAAACTCGGATTAGATGTCATACATTCATCTTTCAATATCCTTTCCCGGGACAATATCAACCAAAGTGGATTTGCCAAACTGTGAAGTAATCTGTCCCAACAAAGTAAATTAAGTACAAAGACCAGATTACACATAAATGTACATATTAGATGACACACATATTGTAGCACCTGGTTCTTGGTATGTATTCCTTTTATTAATTCTTTAAATATTTTGCATTTTGGCCTTGGACTCAGCGAGTTGAAGGACCAACTCGCCGAGTAGAAGCGAGAAGGGACGCGGGACTTAAGTGATGAACTCGGCGAGTAGGTGCTGTTCGGACCAAAAACCCTAATCCGAGGGTTTGCACCCTATTTAAGCAATGATATGACGGCCATATTGTCCCTTATGCTCCCAAAACACTTCTCATTGAAACCCTAGCCGTTTGTGCATTGTTGAGGCCATTTTTGGTGTTCTTGTGTGGTTGTAAAGCTTGGAAGGAAGAAAGGAGCTTGGAACCTGAGTTGGGGACAGTAGATCCAGAGATTTTACTTCATTTTCAGCAGCTTCAAGGTATAATGCCCTGTCTTGACTCATCTATGTGTTATTCATCTTTAACTTGGGATTTCTTTGGATTGCTAAGTCATGTTTTGGTATTGGAAGTGTGGAATGGGTTTTGACTTCAGATCTGGGCCTTAAGAGGGGTTTCATGGCATAAAGGTGCCAACTTTAGGGCCATGAAAGCCCCATGCTCATTGTAGGACACTTTATGTGGATTTTTGAGCTAAAAACCCCATGCATGTGCATCAAGTTTGGAACTTTACGTATAAAGTGGACATTAGGAGGCCAGATCTATGGTTTTGGTGTGCTAGATCCCATTTAAATCAACTGTATGGAATTGGTCAAGACTGGACTCGGTGAGTCCGTTCTTGGACTCGGCGAGTCCAAGGCAATCTTCTTAGAACTCGACGAGTTGTTCATCAACTATGCGAGTCGAGGACAGATCTTGTTCATCAGATGAAGGTGGACTCGACGAGTTGTTCATCAACTCGGCGAGTCGGATGAGTTTTCATGTGACGTTCATATGAGAGAAGAACTCGTCGAGTTGACGGCCCAACTCGACGAGTAGAGTCGTGGATAAGGACAAATGGAAGGTTAGGGACTCGGTGAGTTGGCTAGCCAACTCGGCGAGTCAGGTCAACTGGAAGTTGACTTTGACTTTGACTTGACTTGATCAGGGGTAAAATGGTCATTTTACCCAAAGAGTAGATATCAGACTCTGATTGTGTGTTTTGTGGGATTTATAGCCGGAGGATTTCCGGAGCAGCAGCAGCAGATAGAGAGTTCCCGCACATATCAGCAGCTACTACGAGGTGAGTTACCTTCCAGTAGCGGTGGGTCTACGGCCACAATGCCGGCCCACCAGTAGGGATCGTATGATAGATGTTTGTCTTTGTGATATTCATCTGTGTTGCTGCTACCTGATATGTTATATGCTAGCGTGATATGATATGTGATAGTGATAGAGATTCGGTTGTTAGGACCGAAGGGTAGGTTAGGCACCCCAGATATGCCTAACAGTATGTTATGATATGTTTAGCTGCTAGCATGATATGTTATACGAGATAGAGGTAGTAGAGGGGGGAATGGTCCCCGAGATACGGTTGTTAGGACCGAAGGGTAGGTCGGCACCCCAGATATGTCTGACAGTAGATATTGCTATGATATATGTGACAATAGTAGTAGGGGTGAAATAGTCCCCGAGGTTCGGTTGTAGGACCGAAGGGTAGTCAGCACCCCAGAATGGTTCGACATGGGTAGGTCAGCACCCCAGAATGGCTTGAAACGGGTAGGACGGCACCCCAGAATAGCCGCACGGGTAGGTCGGCACCCCAGAATGGCCGTACCGGGTAGGTCGGGCATCCCAGAAATGCCTGGCAGTATGTATGCTATATGATTGTATGGTATGTGGACGATGGGGGGAACTCACTAAGCTTTGTGCTTACAGTTTACAGTTTTGTTTCAGGTACCTCTTCAGCGAAGGGGAAGGAGCTAGCGCGGTAGCGGCACATCATACACACACACATTGGTTTTTCCGCATTATGAGATGTTCTGGGATTGTACTCTGACATTATTATTATTTTTATGATTTGGTTTTTAGACACGAGATATGTTTTATGAAATGATATGATCGGATGATGTTTTACTGCAAATGTTTCGCAAACCACTTATTTTAAATGAAATTTTTGGGCGTGAAAATTGGGTTGTTACACATATAGACATAAATTCATATCATATCACACAGATACTAATCAGATATCAGATTACATACA